ACGGATGAGGAAATAGAAAGACCTTTGCACGAAGGCTCAAGCCAGTGACTTCGTGTTGGAAATGGGCCAATGACTTTGTGTTGGAAATGGGGTGAAAAAAAAGCTACTGTAACATTTTCCTCCAAGTAGGACATCCTGCTTGCTGAATGCAACCGTAAATGATCTGATTTTCTCTGCCACCGCTGCAGTGCTGAGTGCTGAGATCGGATCAACCTCTGTACAAACATTCTCAAGTCCCACCGGCAAAAGTCTACTTCCGACACCTTTGCAGGCACCAAGAGTCAGCATACCATTCTACAATCTGTCACAAAGGTCCAAAAGTCACGGCCACGAACCCTGATCAAAAGGGGAAAGGTGCCAAAGACACAGCCCTGTACAATGCTGAACAGTTGATTGGTCAGCGGAATGTCAAAGGATCGAAATGCCCTTCAGCCACAACCAGCTTCCCAGCAATAACAGCTGTTGCCTCACGAATTCACACAGACTCGCAGCTTCAACAGGCCCGGCTCAACTGATATACAGTGTCGTCACAGGATCTTCTGGCTTAGTCACTCCCGGCTGCAACACCGCCAAATAGTTCTCCGAATAACACCAGTAATATCCCGTCGTTTCCTCTGCTCGGTCCTCCAGTGCGAGACCTGGCAAGCTGCTGACACCAAATGCTGCAATCTCACTGCCATCTTCTAGCGGTCTCTCTGCATGCCACCCTGTGAGCATCAGCGGGATGCCAACCTTCTGCCCATCCATCACGATGGCCGGCCGCATCGGCAAGTCATTTCGTGAATACTTCACCTCACCAAGCCTCATCAGCGTTCCACGCAGCGAGGTGGTCACATGCGCACAATTCAACCCTGCAAAGGTCGACATCACCACTGAGGCATCTGGCTCCAAAGTCCAAGCCGTAGACCCCAGCAACTGCAAAGTGCTCTCCTTCCGGCTCTGCAGCTTCATCAGGTGCAACGGCGTGGCCGCTACCGCCAGAGTCTCCAAATTCTGCAGCATCACCTTCGGAAAGCAGCCAGCAGCGGCGCTGTCATACGCACTGCCCAGCTGCTCCTGAATCTTCTCCACCATCGGCGACCACAGGCTTACCATAATCACAGCCTGTCCATCTCCCAAGGTCAATGTCATCACCTTCCGCACTCCACGGCTGCCTGGAATGTCCTTGGCTTCGGACAAGTCCACGCACCATCCGGTGATGTCGACCAACACCTTGGCTTCCAAACCATGTGCCTCCAGCACCGACTGACACACCACCTTCTTCTGACTGGCTGCTTTCCCTCCGCCACTGGTCCGGGGCCGCTTCTGAGGTGTCAACTCAGTGGCTGCCGCAGGGCTGGCTCTGTTCGGCTGCTGCGCCACGATTTTCCGACTATCACCGTTTTCCTCATCGGAAATTTCCTGCGGCACCGCCGTCATCGCCCCGGAGTCACTAGACCGAGCTCCGACACAGCCGAAATTGCTTCGCCGTGCATCATCATTCAATCATCGCATTCCACTTTTCCTGAAGAAATACGAAAAATCCGAATCACTCCAGTGCACTTTGTTCTGCAGATTTTCAATGGCAAGTGAAACGTGTGAAATGTGAAACTCCAGATATCATCAGATCCATCAGATATTATACCACTTATACAAAACAAATCAAACCATCAGGAAACTTGCCGGACCATAGCGCTTGTTCTACACGTCTGTTTGACTAGTCGCCCTTCCGCTCCCACCTTTGCTCCCTCCACCGAAGCAAAGTTCACCAACAAGTGAACCACGGCAGGGTCCTCCAATGCGTGCAGGAAGATGTTTCGAAACAATTTCGTTGGGTGCATGCGTGGCTGGAAACTGTACGCATTTTGGCATTGCGACTGGCTGAAGACTCTGAGGAAAACACCATAAAACACCTGTGCCCGTATCATGCCAAATGTCAGCAACAGAACTTCAAACAGAATAAAATACCATTTTCGAAATAGTCTCATAGTTTCACGCTGCACCTGAACCCCGGTCACCCAATCGGTCCCGCGCATGGACGATCACGATTCTAGCACTTCGCCCCAAAGGGCAGGAAAGTCGAACCTGCGGTTCGCACAAATGTTGGGATATGTTTCCTTTACTCCATGATTCACCCATGTTTCATCCATGTTCATTGCGTAGAATCATCTAAGACACATTTAAAAAAAGAACAAGTCACACCCATGAACGAACACTTAAAAATCAGTTAAAGACGAAAAAAAAATATGAGTTTGAATTAAAAACCATGAAAATCCAATACGAACATTGGATTCGCTGAGTCCCAAACAATCACTGGGGATTGTGGAGGAAGAAGTACTTTCAAGTGAATGCTGACCTGCCATGAGAAGAGTTGCATCTTGAGGACTTTTTGACTTTGTCCAGAGTCCAGAGCAGGTCCATTTTTTTCATCAAAGGTTTCAACCTTGCCGCTCAGCGGAGCCTGCTCGTCCTGTGCAGGAGCGAGAAAACTCGCAAGGATCCAGAACACATGGCTGCCAGAAGGCAATTGTCACCTCAATACACGGACAGTCAAACTATTGAGGTGGGTAAAATTGCGAGTTGATATCTCTTCCCCCTGGAGATGCTATGACACATATGATTTCATGTCTCAATGGCCGCAAGTCACAGTGCAATTCGTGTTTTGAACAATATCTGAAACAAATGCTAACACACCTTGGCGAAATCCGAATATTGCGCTGCTCACCAACTGCCAGCCCGCTACCCTTTGAGTTAAAATCAGAAACAATACCTGAGCCCAACGCTCGCTGCGGGCCATGCGAAGCAAACGACATCTCAGGCCTAAAAGTCCATCATCACAACGGACCGGGCCAAGGACAGGCATGTTCGACGGCGACGTGCATCTCGATCTACTATCTTGCATCTATATTGCATCTATCTTGCATAGGCTTGCTAGTTTGAAGATGTTTGAAGATGTATAATTACACCATGATGTAACGACCCTATCGATGTGCAACCTAGGGTAATGACACTGGGGATGACTTTACAAGTAGGATGATCAAATGGTTTCTTTAATATGGTAATGCATTGAGAGTTTCTATGATTTCGATTGCCCTGTGCTCTTTGAATGTTCATCTTTCGAATTGCTGATCTTCTGATTCCGTTCAAATTCCATGAATGTCTGGAGGCCATGCTGGCGACGTCTACTCCTGCAAGCTTGGGCCATCAACGATCTAAGTGCGACTTTGACTGAGCTTCGGCCGCCATCACTGTGGAAGATGTTCACTGCAGGAAGGGTTCCAAACTCACTCTCTCCCAGGGGTCGGCGGCAGGGGGCGTAGCCCCTTAATATATATATACATATGTACATACTGACTGTAGCTAATCACGTCTCCTCATCAAGCTCGCTTTCAGACTCCTCTTCTGGTTCCTGTCCTCCAGACCAAACGGTCATATGGGTATGGGGTCGTACAGGTCAAAATTAAGGACCTGGGGTACCACATATTTAAGCATATGTTTAGTCTGAACCATACCATCCAATTGTTAGGGGATGACTCATACTCATTTCTTAGAAAACCACGTAAATATCGGTATCAACGTCCGCGCAATCTGTTCCCACCTGCGCTCCACAGCGCAAAATCGCTTGCTGCCTGGCTGGCTGCCTGACTGGCTTGGCTCGCAGCCTCTGTTGCCACCTGGCTGGCCCTTCGATATGCCTGCCGTGGGCGGCAGTGGGTCAATCCAGAAACAGCATGAGATATGCTTAACGCTTAACTTTGGCTGGTTTTCACAAACAAACGCGCAAGAACACGCAACAGTCCAAATCCAATATGTTTTTCTTCAGTTGCTATTTCATATAGTGACGTACTCAAATCAACAAAATTAGACCAAATTAGATAGTTAGTTCATGAGAACCAAGGCAGATGATAGATGTTGGCCCTGAATATCCACATGGGCAGTTCGTCAGGATGGCCAACAATGGCACCACACCTCTGTCCTTGATGAGAGCAGTGATCCCACAGAAGAACGGAAGGCAATAGATAGAGTCCATTTCCAGGTGTTGCAGCAGATTACAGAAATGGGAAAAGAACATTGATTCGAAGGACCAAACCGGCAAGTGCACCTGAGACACATTTTGGAGGGCATTGTCGAAGTCGAATTGCCCAAAGGACATGGACATCGCAACTTCATGTCATGGTGTATGAGTTGCTGCCTGAGATCTCCATTCCTTTGACTTTATTATCTCTGTAGCATCCGCAGGTTGACATCATGGCTATGTCAGTGTGCGAGTGTACTAAGGTCACGTCACCAAAACTATTACATACGCTGCACTGCCCGTGACAATGTCAGCTCAAAGTCTGCGAACTTCATACGCTTTCAGGTCTATGAAACTACCCGGTTCACCACCTTCCAATGTCATTCTTCGCCAAAAACTGTCTCAGAAATGCCATATGCAATCTGCTTTTACAGCTAGCTGTGTTTTGAAGCTATTGTATTTTGAGCCGCATAAAGTAGGTCGAGTTCCATGAGCTCAACAACAGCTTGGGCTTTGCAGCTAAAGCTTGACGTCTAGCTGTCTCTGCACTGTTTCTGCAGGTCCTGTCGAAGTTGTTCCTGACGAGTGGCCTCCACTTGTTTGCGGAGCTGTTGTTGCCTGGAATGCCAATTTATAGCACAGAATCACTGGTGGCATGTTTCAGCATGTCTATGTTTGCAGCCAGTGATATCACGGCAAAATGCAGCGCGAATCAAACTTGAAGCCTTTCCCCCTTCAGCACGCTTCAGCTTCAAAGCATCTTGTGATGGTTGTATTGGTTCCATTGACATCTGAAGCAGTTGGAGTCTACACTCCCTTCAGGTACAAGCCATATCCAAAAAGGAAATGGGAAGACTGCCTTCATTATTCCTGTGAGTTCTCGCATGTTGTCACATGTTGTCACACCTGTCCCTTCTCAAGGTTCAACTTGGTTCCAAGGTCAGCTGGAAGAGACACCGAAGCACAAGTGGCAGTAGCAGCTGGTGAAAGGTCGATGAGTCGGTCATCAGGAAAGTTCTGGGTCTGAATTCTTGACTTTCATCAGCTCCGTGTCAAATATCAGTGTTGAGTTGGGTGGAATCTTACCTTGCAGAGCCGCACACAGGGCAGTGAAAGCAAACCTGACAATCCTTGTCTGGGAATGTACTGCCTCTTCTTAATCCGTCTTACTTATGACTTCGAGCTTTGTTGTATCCGCCATGTTTTTTAATCTTTCCCCGATGCAAAGTCAAGGCGCCAACTTCACGGTCCCCATACGCCATGTCTGCAGGGATTTGCAGCCGACGTTTTCCACCAACACGCATTCCTTCAATCCCTTCATCCCACCTGAAGTCAGATCGCGAACTCCTGAGACCTACATTCATTATGATTCATCATGATTCATTATGACATTATGATTCATCATCAAATGTTTCGCATCTTCCACAGTTGAGCAAGATGGCTTGAGTGCAAACAGAGAATCCAGTTTATATTCTACATTTTTGAAGGCGTGATTTGACTAAACGAGCTATTGCAAGGAGAAAAAGGAGCATGTTCACACCTTTTGCTGGACAGAAAGCTTTGAATAAGGTGATTTGGAAACTCACGCAGGTCATCCGGTCTGCATCCATGGGACCCAGGAATCACTTTGCCAACTCCAAGCTGAAACTCAATCGGTTTGTGCCGATACTTCGAAGAGTCGAAGATTGACCTTGGAGCAACCACATCACACGACCAAAGGTGATCAACGGCGAGAATCAATGAAGGCTACTTAATCTACTTAGCATATAAAGTGTCTCTAAATTGGGAAGCCCCAATTTTCCATGGTTGATCATCGTGTTGTGCATTAAAAACTGCCATTAAAAACTGCCATTTAGGGGTATCCTGGTGGAAGCAAATTCGGACTCTACTACAATTAGGATGCTGAATTACAGTCTCTACATCTGAGTTTGAGTTGAGCAGCCCATTCAAAAGCCGTCCCGTGTAATGAACCGACACAGTACTTCCAACTTCTGCTGCACCACCGGTCCCAATGACCTGAGTTTTGAGCTGAACTGTCAGACTCTGTCAGACCGTCTGTTGCCCACATCTGAGGATCAGGCTTCATCTTTATATTTCAGTCCAGATGGCGAGGACATCCACTCAAATGCGAGACCCGGATGAGCATCCTTGAAACCTGTGGGCTGAGGGCTCCAAATGTTCAATGTTCAAGCCAACGTCACAAACATGTAGACAACTTAGCCAAGAAACTCAATGCACGTGGACAAGTTTGATGCTGTCCAGCGCTTCCGAAAAGAAACGTTGCAAAGCTGCTGGATCTGGAAGTTCTGTGGTTGAGAAGCAGCTCTGGAAGGACAGAAATATGTTTTGCCTTCAGGACAACATTGCTAACAAAACTTCCGTGCTGTGGCACCATCTTCGGAATGACAATTTATCAGGAAAACTCTTGTGGAAGATTCTAGTTGCTAGGCAACTATTTCCCGCCCTACCTGCCCAGCACTCCCAGCAAGAGAGGAAAGATCATGCTCCAAATAGCGCAACGGCATTTCGCAAGAAATCGCAAAATATGCTACGTCTTCAAGATTCAAACCCTACAGTGACCTTACAGAGTGAAGATTTTTTTGTATCTGCTGAGCCGTGCGAAAATATCGCAAACACATGCAAACACAGCATGTTGGATGAGATCGTAAAACACAAGAACATAATAGAACATATGTACTAGGGCTGCATTCACTGCATGCTGCTCACCTGCTTTTGGGCCAATCCTACATTCGCATCGGATAGAAAAAAGTAAGACAGAATCATGCATCCTCTAGAGACCAGTCCTTAAAGCTTGAAAGTGCCCCAATAGATTTTCTCCTGTCGACTGAGAAACCAGCTTGCGCTGCTGTCTTCTCACTTCCACCTGCATCAGCTTGCTTTGATGGCTTTGTTCACGCACCTCAGCCAACATCGACATCCTTCTCAGCTGAAAAGACCGTTTGCTGATTGCAGAACATCGAGTGGATTGAGAGGTAAATGCAAAATTGATTTGCATGTTGCACTATGCTGCACTCCTGTTCCTCTTTGATCTGCCAGGGCACTTCGTGAAGGGCTGCAAGCAGGCGTCTTGAGTCCTATGAGGAAGTTTGAATCGGCGAAAGTGGCACCGAAAGCGGCATCAAGTCCGCTGCGATCATGGCATAAAGCAGTGCCTCTCGGACTTGCTGCGCGATGATCTTGTTTTCTCGGTACTTCTCCAAACGAGGAGCCTTTGAATCTCTGCTAAGTTAGACAACATCACCATCACTTCAGCACCACTTCAGATCCCAAGGACATCAACTCAAGATGTGTGCCAAGTTTTCGATTCGTTGTCCCATATCTTTTGGTTTCGTGCTGCCCTAGCCGACCTAGCCTGTGTGTTTTGCAAGCTGGCTCTCACGTGTCTCGCCCTTTCTTTGAGAGCCTGTTTTTTGCACAAAGGTTTTGAAACTCGAAGAATTCACAGTGGAAATATAGAAATCACAACAAACCAATGCTGGTGCCTCGTGATAGTCCGCAACATCCCTTTGGAATTGAAGTTGTTCTTCCTGAATCAAAATCTATTCAGCGTCTACAGCATCTACAGGTGACAACTGGGACCTTTTCTCTGGCCTTCCGCACTTCACGCTGCCACTGAGCGAATTCAGCCTGAACAAACTCTGCTGACAGACCTTGCATAGCAAATTTGAACCCGGCACCTGGTGATGTCCTCTCTGCTGCAGGAGTTTCACGTCCTCTGCAACACCATGGAAATCAATCAAATTTGGGCAAATCAATTAGAAAACCGAAATATTTTTACATCCAGTCCTTCCAAATTTGTTGCTCTTGGGACTTCAAGATCTGCACTCGAGCTTGTACCACTTTCACGCGTTGCTCATGTGCTGCCTTGGGAAATATAGTTTCGTACATGTTTTTTACAAGCATGCAAATTCAGCTATTGTAAACACTGCACCCTTTTTGAACAAGAAACCTTGGCTTTCAGTAATCGTTTGATGTCCGCCGCCCCTGGAATCCGGCAAGAGTCCTCTCAAAGTTGACACAGAAGCACAAAAAAACACAAACATGCATGACTCATGATGAAACAACTTGAAACAAAGGAAGGCAGCCTCATCCTGTTGGGTTAAGTTCGAGTCACCGTTCCAGATTGACCCTTTATCATTTTTGTTCCAACGTTCCAACCTCAACCAGTACATTCCCAATTTTCAAGTGCAGTCATGTCCACCCAGCACAAATCGAAAAAAGGTCCCTTGAGGAATGCAAATCTGCTGATGGAGTCGAGAACCTTCGTGCTGTGTCAGAAAAACATGTTTGTCACTGCAGTGAACAAAAGGAACGAAAGGACCAAATTCTGAGCAACGTGCGAACCATGTTGCACTTCCCCGTGGAATTGTTCCACGGGTACTTTTGCCATGGCAAATGTACAACAAATGTCAAAACAATGTGTTTCCGGTGTGAGTTTTAAAAGATGTCCAGCCAAAAAAAAACTAACGACATTTGGAAACATTACAAACAAGTGAATCAGAAGGTGTTCACACATGAATTTGCAAAATAACAAATTCCCCCAGGGAACTCACAATTTACAATACACCGTCCAATATGCTGTTGTATTTTCCATGGGTTTCCCGCGGCATTTGACATGTTGCAATGCATTTCGCTGCATGTGGAAATTGAAGCGACAGGGCGCCTTGGAAGCCGATGGCCAAAGAAAATCTGAAAAATACCAAAAGAAACTGATGTAAATATACAGTACATGTAAATCATAAATCCGAAAAAAAAATAAATCGATGTAGTTGATGGAAACAACATACACAGATGTGGATTTTTTTTTGCAATTTGATTGCCCATTTTGTTTCACATCAATCCACATTGCAATTTTTTTTAAAAAAAAAAAAAAAACGCTATGCTAGACAGTGATGTAAATTGCAACATTGAAAAATGTTGCGTTCAATTTTCACGAAAAACATCCACACTGATCCGTTGTTGTTTACTTGCTGGAAACGTGGCAATGATATCCAAGATGTTGAAACCAAAATTCAACCCGCAAAAACAAACATGTTTTTGGTCATTGTCGACCAATGCACAGTGAAAAATACTAAACGTTCAACGTAAAACGATGACATGTGTCATGTGACAGCAATTGGACCCTGTTGTCTCAAACCAGTAGTGGCATCCAGACCCGGCTCACAACAATAGAGGTTGCAAAGGCACTTTCAAATTGCACAACCAAAGATATGTGTGGCAATACCAAAGTGCCACAAAGGCAGCACCAAACGTTCGGCAACAAACATTGCATTTATACAAATGTCGATAAACCCAGCTTCGCAACCCAACAGCAGTGACGGTTTCAAATTCAAAGATAAGGCTAATGGACACATTCGGGAGACACTTGGAAAATCATATATGGAAACAAGCAGAAACCAATTTGGCGGACCAGGCGTTGCGGGGGGGGCAAGTGGAATACGATTAGGAGAAGAACGGGAGACCACATCTGGGAAATATCGGGGGGACGACAATGAAACAACTGGGAAACGATTCTGCAACTTCTGCTTGAGATACAAGCGCCTCGGGATATGAACAGATACTACACCTGCTATGTCACATGGCATGAGTGATCCATGACGCATAATGTGCAAACAGCGTCAAATGGAAACACCCCGCCTTGCTGCACACTTTAGTAGCGCGGCACTTGAAAGCCAGTTGAACGCTTCCAAACTGAGCTATGCCGCAGGGACGCAGTTTTGCGTGCCTCTTCACGGTTGGGTTCTTCAATTATAGGACCGGATAACCCCACATGTTACCAACTTCTCTAGACTTAGACTGAGCACAGAAAAGCAAGAAGGGAAGAGCAAGTATAAGAGTGATGGAAGGGTGATTGTGGGTGAGTTTGTGTGTGTGTATGTATGTGCATGCACAGGTGAGTGAATGAGAATGTGAGTGCGTGATGTGAGTGTGGTGTGTGTGAGTGAGAGATGTGACAGGGAGGGAGGGGGAGGGGGGTGCGGCGTGAGTGATTGACGGTGAAGGGAGGGAGGGAGGGAGGGCGTGAGTGCGTGGGTGATTGAGTGAGAGTGCGTGATGAGTGAGAGAGTTGAGTGAGAGAGAGAGTGAGCGAGGGTGAGTGAGAGAGAGAGAGAGAGTGAGTGAGAGAGAGAGTGAGTGAGAGAGAGAGAGTGAGTGAGAGAGAGAGAGAGTGAGCGAGAGAGAGAGTGAGCGAGAGAGAGAGTGAGTGAGAGAGAGAGAGAGAGTGAGTGAGAGAGAGAGAGTGAGTGAGAGAGAGTGAGTGAGAGAGAGAGAGTGAGTGAGTGAGGGTGAGTGAGGGTGAGTGAGGGTGAGTGAGGGTGAGTGAGGGTGAGTGAGGGTGAGTGAGGGTGAGTGAGGGTGAGTGAGGGTGAGTGAGGGTGAGTGAGGGAGTGCGGGTGAGTGCGGGTGAGTGAGGGAAAGTGAGGGTGAGTGAGGGTGAGTGAGGGAGAGTGAGGGATAGTAAAGGAGAGTGAGGGGGAGTGAGGGGAGTGAGGGAGTGAAATGAGTGAGTGAAATGAGTGAGTGAACTGAAATGAGTGAGTGAAATGAAATGAGTGAGTGAAATGAGTGAATGAAATGAGTGAGTGAAATGAGTGAGTGAAATGAGTGAGTGAAATGAGTGAGTGAAATGAGTGAGTGGGCAAAAGAGGCAGAGAGTGGGTGGCTGCGCCTTCAGATGGCGCCGGTAGAGTATTCAGCCAAGCTTTGGAGCTACGCGCCTGACGAAATGCAGCCTCTTGACAGGCGTCCATTTGGGTTCAAAGGTAAGGGGTTCATCTACTGCCAGCCCTGCCGTGGATAGTTGGTGAAAGTAGTTCACGACGGTGCCCTTGGCTGCTGCATCCAAAGGTACCTGCCAGAGCACACCCCTTGCAGAGCACCAAATACTGCGCCTGCCACGCAAAAAGCAGCGGAGACGAAGGCACGCCAAGGCGTACATCCGACCCCTTGCCCCTTGCATAGCACCAACTGATGCACCTGCCACGCCAAAGCAGCGGAGACCAAGGATGCCAGGGTGTACATCCGACCCCTTTCAGCGCACCAAATGCTGTGCCTGCCACGCAAGGGACGCCAGGGCGTACACCCGACCCCTTGCAGAGCACCAAGTGCTGCGCCTGCCACGCAAAAAGCAGCGGAGACCAAGGGACGCCAGGGCGTACATCCGACCCCTTGCAGAGCACCGAGCGCTGCGCCTGCCACGCAAAAAGCAGCGGAGACCAAAGGACGCCAGGGCGTACATCCGACCCCTTGCAGAGCACCGAGTGCTGCGCCTGCCACGCAAAAAGCAGCGGAGACCAAAGGACTCCAGGGCGTACATCCGACCCTTTGCAGAGCAACAAATGCTGCGCCTGCCACGCAAAAAGCAGCGGAGACCAAAGGACGCCAGGGCGTACATCCGACCCCTCGCAGCGCACCAAATGCTGCGCCTGCCACGCAAAAAGCAGCGGAGACCAAAGGACGCCAGGGCGTACATCCGACCCCTTGCAGCGCACCAAAGCATCGCCAAGGCGTACATCCGACCCCTTGCACACCACCAAGTGCTGCGCCTGGCACGCAAAAAGAAAGAGTGAGTGAGTGAGTGAGTGAGTGAGTGAGAGAGAGTGAGTGAGTGAGTGAGTGAGTGAGTGAGTGAGTGAGTGCATGCGTGAGTGAGTGAGTGAGCGAGCGAGCGAGCGAGTGAGTGAGTGAGTGACTTGGATGGGCAAGGCTCTTATAGGTAGTTAGCACACTTGTAAGCATATAGCTAACTTGTAAGTATATATAGCTGACTTGGCAAGTCAACATAGGCAACATAGCCAATCTACCCAAGTGAACTTACTGGGCTTGGCTAAGTGCAACTTAGACCGGTGGCTATGTTACTTACAAGTCACTTAGCTAAGTTCGCTAAGTTCGAACAAGTTGGCTTGAGCCCAAAAAAAACGTAGGTTTTTGCAAGTTTTTTTGCCGGTGTAGCCTTTGTGCCTGCTTTGAAAGGACAAAGGCTACATATATAATCATAGGTATATATGCACCTTTAAACCGAATTTTGCATACCCTCATGTTGGGGCTGAATGGGGTTTATAGGTGGTGTTTTCATTGTGCTAAGCTGGGACTCGTGCTGGCGCCCCCTTTGTTAATTTCAGCCCCCAAAAAAAAACATAACTATACCGTAACTTCTGTCCTCTATGTTTCCGTTGTTCCTTTGGAATAGTCCAATTTTCCAATTGAAAAACAAAGTTGTGCCCTTTTCAGGGCCACATTATATTTGACCGCACCTTATAAGGTTCCCACATCGATCCTTCAAAAGATCCGCATTCCCGCTGTAAAAGGGATATCTATCTATCTATCTGTCTGTCTATCTTTCTATCTATCCATCTATCTATGTATATATATATAATGTTATGTGTTTATTTGGTGGTCTTTCGAATCTATCTATATCATATCTTATCCATATTTATCATATACTAATACACCACCAGCCACCCGAAGTGGCTGCCCTGCGCTGGTGCTTGCAGCAGCCTGGCCACGCAGGCAGATTTTTTTGGGGGCCGGGTCTGGGTTGACCTGTTGGGATATGGATTGGAATCTAAAATAATGGAAATAGGTTTGGAATGATCCAAAATGTATTTTACCGCACGATGCGTAAAATCCGCCCACACCGCTTTGGCGGTGAAGGCGTGCTTATTGGGGGGCAAAACAGCAACACTAAATGCTCAATGACATTTGTTAATATAGCAGTCGCTATATCAGCTTTAGCTTGGGGGGGGGCAAAAACGGTTTCGCACCGAGACCAGAATACGGTGGTGTTTTCGACATTTTTCGAGGATTTTTGGGTGTCTGAGCGCAAGAGGGTATTGAAATGGAATTTTGGGTCATTTTGGTAGCTTTCCGGCAATGGAAAAACGGCCAAAAATGAAAAAAAACATTGTACATAGCAAGCTTTTGCAGGGTTTTTGGATGCCAGAGCATTGAAAACACTGCAAAAACAAGTGTTTTGGACTGACGTTATAGCAAAAAACGTGTAAATTACCGTATGCTTGACTGGAAACATTACAAAAACACTGTCAAAAGCAATGTTTTGGAAGGATTTACTGCCTTTATGGCAAAAAACGTGTAAATTACCGTATGCTTGACTGGAAACATTACAAAAACACTGTCAAAAGCAATGTTTTGGAAGGATTTACTGCCTTTATGGCAAAAAACGTGTAAATTACCGTCTGTTTGACTGGAAACATTGGAAAAACACTGTCAAAAACAATGTTTTGGAAGGATTTCTTATAT